TTTCAATATATAATTTGTTTGCTTGGGACGTAAAAAAAAAAAAAAAAAGAGTTTGTATTTGAATGTGTTTCTTTATTATTTAAAAAAAGTAATATAAATGCTTTTTGTATAAAAATATCATTAATTAATTCAAAGTGTATGTTTCAATCATAGAAATATGAATAAAAAATATGCGTGCATGAATTAAGAATTCTTAAAGGCAACTTTACAATGGTGGGGACATTCCCAACAAGCACAGGGTTTTTTCTCATGCAAACTCAAGCGCACACGCAAACATGAGTTATAATGTATCCAAGTAACTAACTTTTCCATGGCAATATATAAGAAAATAAAAAGTTGGTCAGATCCTGCATTTAGCATATAGGTGCAAGTACCTGGATATGGGAAAGTGGGGTAGGCATGGGGAATCTATTGTCAAATATCGTACTCTATTACTTTTGAATCTTCAAGTTACGCTAGTGCTAAATAAATTACATGATCTATAGTGATGTGCTTTGATCAATTAATCTCAGACTATATGTGATATGAACGTAGTTTATGGTAGCTCATAAAAAAATATATATAGAGAGAAAGTGACGGATTATATAGTGTTAATGAAAACTTCGTTGGCAACATATGAAAAAGAAAGAAACCGACTTTTGGTGGTAACACACTGTGTTCATAAATTCTGTTATATCTCACCTGTTTTTATATTATCCTTAAATAAATAAATAAATAAATAAAAACCTTAAAGGTCTTAAATATCTTAAAAGGGTTGCAAGCGTTTTTTTTAGTTTGGTAAAGATGATTCTCTTTTGGTGGTGATAGAAATATCAATAGAATAATAGATCAAAATATTAATAGAATGGGATAGATCAAAATACAATTGTCATTCCATTGTTTAGACATTTTTAAAGGAATATGGAACAAATATTCCGTTTCATTGTTTGGAGAAAAAATGAAGAAAAAAAAATCAATTTTTTAATTCTCATATTATCCTTAAGAGACTAACGATAATATAAAATCTTTAAAGATAAAATATTTATTTTATAATCTAAAAATTATGTTTCATCAAGTGCATCCCAAATTTGTGAAAAAGAAAATTGGAGTTAAGCAATAGAATGGGATGAATATGTAATTCATCTTCTTCAATTAATTGTGTTTCATTTCTATCTTGCAAACTAAACAATAGGACAACTTCTTCCTCTACTCTACTCTATCCCTCTTCATTTCATTCTCTACCATCAGTTTAAATATAGCCTATAATTAAATTGCAATGGAATTAGATGAGACATTTATAATATATGCCAGCCAAAACGTGATGATATGATTTAGAGGAACTTGAACTTATTATTAATTTCTACTTTCATCTCGTAAGTACAATAATGTAGTAGATATGACCATAAATGCTATATGGTTTGGTTTCTCTATCTAAGTATATGGTAGAGGAATTTATGCTTGTTGGAGAACGCTAGTTGTGTCTCCACTTTGATTTTCTCAATGTGTAGTAAAGGTGAGAAATGGGAATATGTTTTATTTTGGCACGATATGTTTAGATGAGCAATGGTCATTACAACAAATGTACTTTTTAACAACATTAATTTTTTTTTATCAAATTATAAGTAAATATTGTTAATATTTTTTTTTTGACATTTTATCAAATATAAGATAAAGTTTATGTTATTAAAGACTTTTAATAATATTTTTATATTTATATTTATTATAAAGAAAATATATTTCTATAATAACTTTTTTTAGTTTTTACTTTTGATTGGATAATTTTATCCTTAATTTTTAAAATTATTCTATATGATTTTCAAAAAAAAAAATTGCTACAACTATTTTAATACATAAAAATAATAAATATAGAGAGGTATGAAGTGTCTCTTTTCCTACTAATATTAATAATAAGATTTTAAAAATGTTATTAAATTAATATTTTTATAACATTTTAATAATATTGATATTTTTTTTGTAAAAATGATAATTAATTTTAAAATAAATAATTTTGTCACTTATATTTTATAACTCTTACCTACAAGAGCCTTTAAATTAAGTTGAAGATATCTTAAATTAATCATCATCAAATTTAGATATAATCAAAACTTATTTATTTTAAGTTTTATTTCTTTGATTATATATTTTTTTATTCGTCATTTTTTTTACTTGAAGTGTGACTTTAATTTTAGAAATAATTAAAAATAAAAATATTGAGGAAAAAAATGTTATTCTATCTATAATAATATTTTTTTAAAAAAATATTATAATAACTTATTAAATTAATTTATAATAATAATTTAATAAATGTAGTAGACAAATATTGCTAGAGAAGTTGAATGCAGAGTGGATAGCTTAAAACACTTTTTCTTACTTAATTCTAGTTTTCCTTGCTAGGGATGTATGTGTGGCTAAAATGTGAGTGTGCTAATAATAATTGGTGTTGCTTATGGAGAGATGAACGAGGGGTCTTTTGTGTGAGAAGAAGGACTGTTGACAAATTTGGTAGATGTCCTGGAACCTTTTCTTTGTGTAGAGTTTACTTGACCAATATATATGAACAGTAGAAGGGTTCTACATGGCCTCTTTAACTTATAATTTCTTTACGGTCTCAATTGCTACCATCAGAGAGCTCACTTTTTTTTTCCTCATACATGTTATCTTTAAACATTAATTTCTAGAAGAGTTACACAACTCTCAAAGTGTTTGCATTGTTTAATTTTAGCAAGTTATTTTGAATAGGTAATTTGTGCAATCGAATAATCTTATCTTAGGTGTTGGACATTTATTGGGTGTTTTGTTTTTGCTTTGAGAAACATTATCTTTTTCTATCTTGTTTTGGTCACAAACTATTTCTAAAATGCAGTTTATATATGGTTTGGTTTTTTTGGGTCATACCTAATGATATTTTTGTTCACTATACCCAATTTAATTCTCTTTTAAGAAGGAAAAAAGTTGTTGGGATGCAAGCAAAGTTTCATATCGTTCAAACAAAAGGATGGACATGAATTTTATATACACACAGTTGTCTCCATTGGTTGAGAGGCCTTTTGGGTGATGTCCAAAAGCAAAACCGTGAGGGCTTGGACCCAAAGTGGATAATATTTCACCAATGTGAAAATATGTGTATGTGTGGTAACCCCTGGTGCACAACAAGTGATATCAGAGTGACAGAGTCGATGGTCTAAGGTGGCTGACGGGGTGGGTCCATATAAAAGAGAGGCTTCCCAGTAACATGGAGGGTTAGGAGGCATGTCCCGTTGTCATGAGGGAGGTCATGATGGAGCTGAGTGTGAGTGAGCTCTGTGGAGCCACCTTTCACTACAAGAAATATGATTTGTAGTGACTAAAAAATTGTGACGAAAATGAAACTTGTCACTAATAATATATTATTAGTGGCTATATTTATTTTGTCACTGATATTATTTGTAATAGTGACAAAAAATAAATTGTCACTATATTTTTATTAATAGTGGCTAAAATATATTTGTCACAAAAAAAAATTTGACACTAATATTTTAAAAGTTACTTTTTTATTTTAAAATTTTATGGATACAAATTTTATTAAACATAAAAAATTGTTTTTGTGGCAAGAAAAAGGTTCACTTTGTCACAGATATTATATTTTAAGTGTGACTATTATAGTAGTTATAATTTATTTTTAATTATAAGTGATCATTTATTTATTATTTATATTTTAAAAAAATTCTTATTATAATTTATCTTAAATACTTATTATTAGTGTATTAACAAGTTGTTAGAATTAAATTAAAATTGTTGGTTTGATATGAGACTGATTTGATAATCCTTTAACTTTCAAAAACACACCGTGAAAATAAGTTAAAATTTTCCAATTTATAAAAATTAGAAGGTTAAAATGGTGTCTAAGAATTGATTTGAATCGATCTCCTTTTACTTATTATT